ATTATAAAAATAAATTATATGTACATCTGTTACCCCGAGGAAATATCTAGGATATATCCTGGATTACAATAATATTACGTTATGTACAGAAGTCCAATTAAGGACCGTCCTTCTCGGCTCAGACTTCGGATGTTTGTGCGGCGTCATTGAATGCCGATCGGTCCAATTATGGACCGTCCTTCTTGGCTCAGACCTCGGATGTTTGTGCGGTGTCATTGAATGCCGAACGGTCCACACCAACCAGCTGAAAGGGCGGAAGTTTTTGACTTTGTTAGCGAAAATAAGAACGACTACACATCCCGTGCCCTGCACGGGACGTAAAAAGATGAAAACAAAAAAATATATCTTAAGACGTCAAAATAAAATTCAAGAAAAAAAATGATTTGCATTGACGGAGAATTCAGAATAGTCAAAGGTCAATTAAAATTTTCAAAATCAATCCTTTTTATTCTATACACTTAAAAAAAGAAAAAGAAAAAAGTGAAAATTTAAACATCTTAATTGGTATTTAAAATATTAAAATTATTTGTAAAACTGTTCAAATATTTTTAATAAATTTTTTTAAAATGTTGATTCATTAAAAATATTTAAAATTTTTTATTATTTTAATATTTTAAGTATCAAAACATTTTAATTTCTTGCAATCTAAAGAAAAAATGAAACAATTAAAATTATTTCTCACGTCAAATTAAGGTTGTAAGTATCAACTGTAGGTAAGAACGGAAGATCATTAGAGCCAAGGCGGCCATGTTGCCCTTAAGATTTTGGGAAAAAAATTAGTAATATATGATATAATTTATTTTTATTAGTTTTTATATTAATTTTATTGACATGTAGTATTGGAATTGACTTGTATTTAGATCATGAATTAGTATTTGATAGTAGTATAATTGGAAAATTTTGAATTTTTTAAGTCTTAGGATAATGAGTTATGAAAAAATAAAATTTACTTTTATTATGCACACCAAGTGTCTGATCAATTATTTTAGTAAGATGTATTTTATTTTGTGTGCTATGTTTTGAGTTTTTAGTTAAGGCCATTTAATTAGCTTTATCTCTTTTATTGTTGGTTAGTTTTACATATAGTTAATATGAGTTCTGATGAATTCATACTTATTATTTTTTAGTATTTAATTACATATAAAATAGACTTTGAACCTGGCCTTTTGGGCTAAATGACTCTAACCACGTTTGTAAGGTTCATATCCCTCTCCTCAGGGCAACGGTTCGAGCCAGCCCAATGACAAAATATTCAAAAAAAAAAAATAGACTTCAAAATATGGTGGAGAAAATTAAACGCAAGGGATAAAAATAGAGTTAAGGAGGAAAAATATGTTTATCTTGAAATTTTAAAAAATAATCAATTTGAGACAAATTTTTAGTGAAGAGCAAATGAAGTACTTATGTTGTTTTTATCATGTAGTTTAGGAAAATAATGGGTACATCTTTTGGTTCAATATATTTACCAACATCTACTAATTTTATTATTAAATTTTATACTTGAAATTTTTTTATCTTAAATTTAAATTTAAAAATAATAATTTTTTAATAAGTGTGTTAAATTAAATAATGCATCAATTATTATCCTATAATTTATATTATATTTGTATGTGATAAAAAAAAATTGTTGGTCTACCGATACAAATATAATATAAATTGGAGTATGAAAATAGTTTTACTAGTCTACAATTGGAGTCTTGGACTAGTATTATTTAATTAACACTGCCGCACGGCACTTCCAAACTGCCTATATATACGATCGATTCTTTCTTCCTTAGCTACACCTCACTGAAAAAAGAAAATATTAAGAAGGAATTAGTTAACTGCAACACAAAAACAATGAAGATTTGCTCACTCTGCTTTAGCCTTACCTTGATCCTCCTCTTTGCAGGTACATCTAAAATGTTTATTTTTGTTTATTTAAATTTTTGGTATCACTAGCAAAACGTGAAGCTCCTTGTGGTGCTCTTGTTTCTAAAAAATTCTTCTCCTTGAGTGCATTTTGAATTCTGATTATGCTACGAAAATTATATAATTATAATAATATGTGCACTTGTAATTTATAATTATGATGTGTTATTAATTAATATTATTGATTAATAAATTAATAAAAAGAGTTATGACTCTTTTTCATTTGTAATATTTTATATATGCATCAATCATTTATTGACATATTATGATTATATAATTATAATATTATATATATAATATTATAATTATATTGATATGGATTGTATGCAGTAGACTAAGCAATAAAAGATTACTAAAGTATTCGTATTTATATAGTTTTTTTCTATCTTTTCGTGGTGCATTAATTTAATAGATATATATGTATTTTTCCTCAATGTAGGGATTCATGCCGCAACCCTCACTGTCAAGAACAATTGTCCGAACACAATCTGGCCAGCAACCTTAACCAGTGGTGCAGCACAGTTATCAAACACTGGCTTCGAGTTAGCCTCTCAAGCATCCTCCTCGCTTGACGTCCCCGCTCCGTGGACGGGTCGGATCTGGGCTAGAACACAATGCTCATCTGGCTCTTCAGGGAGATTTACCTGTGCCACAGCTGATTG